TGTACATAGTGCAGCGAATGAATATAGAGCAGCTCCACTGGCTTAGACATGTCGTTCAATAGGAACCGAAGTTTCAGGTGTAAAAGAATTCAACTCGCAAGCCGATGGTGGTAACAGATGAATAGGAAGCACCCATTGCAATGGAGACCAAGTTGGCACAGAGAGAAATGACTGGCGTCCTTTGTGGAGCTCGGCCAAAATGGCTCAGGCGGTTACAAAGCCAAAGTAGAAGAAGAATATGCAAATGATAAATGACGGAGTTGAGGGACCATTTTCTTGGATGCGCCAGGAGGAACTAGGAAAATATTCCTTATCAGATGGATTCTGGCAACGGTTCGATCAAAAAATTACATTACCTTAGCTATCGCTTCGTCTGGAATTGCTGCGACATTATTACCAGGTGGAAACATTGCCAATTCAGCTCTTTAGCTGTCATTGAACATATAAAGGGCCATTCACATACAACTTTCCTCGCTTTGCTTGACTGTTCAAACTTTGACAACAAAGCGTGAAACGCAGAAGGTATGCTGCAATAAACGCTTTGACAGCTTTTGCGTTCTCCTTTTCCTCCATATATTTTATCTGTAATATAGATAACAATATAATAATATACATTAATAATAGCAATAAAAATTCCAATTTATCCTATTTTTGTCATTAAATGCAAATGCAAGCGCACGAGAAAAGATACATGTAGACAGCTGATTGCCAAAGCGGGCAAAAGTTGGGAGATTTTGCTTCGTTTTGCTTTGCTTTACTTCAAACGTTTTTTATGTGAGCATATGCCTACATCGATCTTATATGTCAAAGCAAAGAACTATCAAGCAAAGCGAAGAAAGTTGTATGTGAATCAGCCTTAAATCATCGAAACTCCTACGTGCAATATTTCCAGAGCATCCGGCATGGAAAAAGTTTACCAAAAAATTAAATTCATTGTTTGGGATGAGTGCATCATGGCACATAAAAAATTGTTTGAGGCTTTTGATCCATTGTTGCGGGATTTGCGTGGAAACGTTCAACCATTCGGGAATGCACTGATATTGCTCGCAGGAGATTTTACGAAAACATTGTCTGTAGTTTCTCAATTAACACGAGAGATAAATGCTTGCCTGAAATAGTCAACATTGCGACAAGACGAACATACATACACTGCAGCTGAAGTATTCGCGCGACAATAACTGGACATTGGGAACGCAAAGCTGCCAGTCAAGGAGAGATTAAGACGAATTTTATGGCCTGATAATTTTTGTAAATTAGAAACATCGAAAGGAGAACTGATCGAAAGAATGTTTCTTTATTAAGAAAATTAATTTTAGGAATCACGATTGGCTCAGTGAACGGGCTATTCTTGCTGCGAAGAATAAGGAGGTCTATCAACTAAATAATAGTGGTATTGACAACAGTCGTTGCTTGACTGCCAGACTGCCAGACCACTTGCTCACTTTGGTGAATACTACTAATGTTATTCAATCCAGCATTCAACGTGAGGAAATAGCATATACGTCGATAAACACCGTTGTGGGAAAAGACCATCCAACGAAATTTTTTAACTCGATTGATCTTCCAGGGAGACCCTACATACCGAAATTGAAAATAGGTGTGCCAATTATCATTTTGCGGAATATTAATCAGCGAAAATTCTGCAACGGAATGCGACTCGCAGTTAAGAAATTGATGAAGAATATAATGTAAGCAAAGATTTTAACGTGGCCTTTCAAAGGTGAAGAATTCCCATGATTCCATTTAATGATGATGATTCAATTTAAAAGATTGCAATTCCCAATTCGATTGACATTCGGAATCACAATCAATAATGCTCCAGGTCGAACTTTGAAAAAGTATGGTTTAGATTTAGATGCGGATTGCTTCTCAGATGTTGCGTGTTCCTGTGTTGGCAAACCAGATATTCTTGATATCTATGCAGAGAATGGAAAAATAACAAATATTGTGTGCACACGAGTACTTATTACATAACCAAACACATATGAACGTATGCTTTGTTTCGTTAATAATTTATCGTCCATATAACAGAAATATGCCACAGAAAATCGTGGCAGGCTACAGCTAGTTGTTAAATAAAAAATAAAAAAATATTTTTCAAGTGAAGATATTAATTATTCACGAAAACAAAAATTAGTACAAATTTATTACAAAAAGTACAATTCTTAAGAGGATTTGATACAATATCGAAAACCTGATTTCCCAACCGAGTTATTATCCCGACGAAATCCTTGGCAGTTGTACTGGGAGGGGAACGGTATATAACGGTAGGAGGTTTGGTTTGGGTTGAAGTCTCACACTGACGGGGTTAGGCTTTCGATGCTTCCACCTCGTAATAATAAGGATAGTAAAAAGTTATTTCTTTAAATCGACGAATAGTTTTAAATATATCAACTTTTGTGAACCTCTATTTAAGTGTTTTTGTACAACATACCTCTATTGGTTACAATAATTTTAAGTTATAATGAACAATTTTTTAGTAGAAACTAATTACTGTTTTTGCAAAAAAAAAAATTTTAAGGGGCCCCTTGTTTGTTGTTGTGTTTGTATTTTCTGTCGCCCTTTTTCATTCGGGGAAGAATAGCTGAAATTTGACAATGGCCCGCTAAAAGCAAAAACAAAATACAAGTAGTTGTTGAATCGGTACCACCTTATATGTATTCGCCTTGGCTGGCAGATTTTTTGTCACAAATAGTTGCTGGTGCTTCGAAAAATTTATGTTGTTATTAACACGGTTGCCACACGACAAAAAATTTTCTGACCAGAATTTACAAACAAAGTTACCAAAAAGTTACCAAGTAAAAAACAATGTTTTATTATACAATAAACTGTAAAAACAAACGTCGTTTATTTTGTCATAAATAAGACATTGGTACAATAAATAGTTTTATTATAAGAAAACTAAACAAATTCATTTTACGTGAGGCGATGATGAGCCTATTTACAAAAAAAACTTTAGTAATATGAGAAAGAAGGATCTATAAAAAATAAATGCGGTCTTTTACTAAAAAATTCTTTGCACCTACGTGATGCTACATATGCCTCTGGCTATTACCGTTTCGATTCTGGTAATGCATTTTAAGGTGCACCTCAACTTTTTTTGAAATGTCAGTTAAGCTACTCTAGCGCTCAAGGCCTCATATACTAATTAGATATATTTACATACGTATATAAATACACTTTTATTCAATCTCTGTATGCGCACGTATAAAGAAAACGCATGCGTTTAAAAATATGCTTTTCATAAAAACGCGCTTTAAGCTCTTGTCTTTTGAACGTGATCTTAGCCTCAGAACATAAAAATTATTTAAGAACTCGACTTGAGTGCATATACCGAAGCGCTAAAGATCCCAAATACACCGCACAAACTGACGGAGTTGAGCTGTCAAAAAAGTGTAATAGAGCTCCTTGGAAGTTCCAATTTCCTCCTCCCCAATTTTCGGGGAAAACGCTACTCCCTGGGAGTTTATTATTGGAGGATTTCTTTCTCGGGAGAAGCAAATTCCCGGAGAACAAACTCCCAGGGAGTATTCAGAATTCGGCTGATAATAAAAAGTAAAGATGATTTTCAATAAAATAATATTAAGATAAGATTTCCAGGCTTCATCTATTGGACTTTAAACGTCTCGACACAACTACATTTAAATACTGAAGCGATAAATATTGAACATATAACATTCCCGCGCGATCCATCACTATTTTGAAATACATCAATATGGATCACGATCCAAATATCACAATAAATGATGATATTAGTTATTTTTGCTTAGCGCTGTGTTGCCTGATCAACGCAACTGTTTCTAGTAGTGTTGTCAGCGCTACACACAACCACAGTTCAATCTATCAAATTCATCCAACTTTACTTAGTGTGACTTTATACACGGCAAACTTACCAAAATAAAAAAAAGTTGCCAAGTTACCAAGCACTCAAAAAGTTACCTATTTTGGTCACAAGTGACCAAATGTGGCAACCGTGGTTATTAATCGCTCGGCGATAAAGAACCAATAAACATCGGCGGAACGTCGTGGTAAGAATATGTTGGACGTTCACACCGATGTTTAAATAGAAAAAAAGGGAATCGATAACGTAGTATTAGAATATAATTCAATCTTTATTAAGATTCTAATATATATGTATGAAATATGTAGTTATATATGTATAGTTTACAGATTACCTTCGAAGAATTGATGGAGTGTGGTTGCTGGAACCTGCCCTCTACCTTGTAGTCTCGCAAAAGAAGTGAGTAGTCTATTTTTTTGACGTTAAGCTCTCCAACTGTTTATTAAACAAAAGCGAAACCTAAGTAGAGTTACCCGTTCGGCGAAGGGGCGATTAGCTGGTGGTATGACATCGTAACGTCAACAGAAAGTTAAACATTAAGGTTGCACTTAATATGTTCGAATTTAGGCCTGAGGCGTAAACAGTGTGCATTTAAAGCTAAAATTCTAACAATAGTTTACTAAAACTGAAACTGAAAAAAAACCATATTTAAAATGCAAAACTACACTTAACTTTCGTAAATATGCTTCCAAAGAATCTTCCATCGTCGAAAAGCCCTCAAGCTGCAATTCTTGGTCCCGCAATAATTCTTAATTTTCAAAGTACCACAACGTGGGCACATATACATCTTCAGAGCCTGCTCCAGATTTCTCACTTTTCCGTATTTTTTGCAATTCCCGTCTGTAGCAGGCTTGTATGCCGTGATATTTTGTACAGTTTCTATCGTGGAAGTTTTGTCTACTTCTCCATCAGTTTCTTCCATGCTTCTTATTTTTAACACCCTTTTATTAGCTTCACCTGTTCGTTTGTATGTATGTATGTTTGTAACCGACTCCTTTGGACTCGATTTTGACCCACTTTAAACGGAAAGATTTAATTCAAACTTTGTACACTTATCAAGAATCAGCGACAATATAATAATTTCATAAATTTATCTCATTATCCTGATTAGGATCGCCAGGATTAAATAATTTCCTCACACAGCCTCTGTGTGAGAGAAAGTGAGACATCTACGTTGTCTGCGCATGCGTACCGTTTACTTAATTTCCGACTCGAGCACTCGGCTTATTAGTGTTAATACATTCTATCCCTATCAGTTGCACAGTTGGCCAAGCGGGCTAAAGCGCTGGTTATACTAACATAGCAAGGCAGGGCATAATCAAGCAGCGCATGTGAAACAGGGGAGTGGTTATACTCCGCATATCGCACATTATACTTCAAAATCAGCTGTTTGCGAAATATCGATTTATTAATTAATTTGTTTTCTGACAGGAAAAGTTGTTCAAAGAGTAAGTAACTAATTTGGCAAATTAAGTACACTTAATAATAATTAAACATACTCCTACAGGTGTTTTCTTGATTAATACACCATGTGGCCTGATGGACAAATGGAAGAAGACTTCCTCGATTTGGCATTTTTAAATATTTGCCGTCTTCAAAAGAAACGGCAAGAATCGAGGCGAGTACGGCGCTGGGCGGTTCATCCAGTAAATAGGGATCGGAAATTGAATGGATACTTCAGGAAAGTGTTCTTGAAATGCAAATCCCACGACAGCAAGATTTTTCTTTTAACCAGGATGAACCGCCCGGTGTACGATTTATTGCAAACGTTGCTAAATCCGTTTCTGGAAAGACCCAAGAAACAAATCTCTCCAGAAGAGCGCCTTGCGATAACACTGATGTAAGTTAAAGGCGAATGCTAGATATTCATTACATTATAATAACAATTTTTTTTGTAGGTACCTCACACATGGAACGTCGTTCGAAATCATCGCTTCAATGCACAAGATGGGAAAAACCACTGTTCGGAATATTGTGTTAGAGACCTGCGAGATTATATGGACCACTTTGTCTCCAGTATATCTCAGCGAACCCACTTTGGCGCAATATAAAGACATTGCGGACGACTTTTCCAGAATGTGGAATATGCCAAATTGTGTAGGAGCCATTGACGGGAAACACATAGCCATCACTTGTCCGAAGAATTCTGGCTCGCTGTACTTTAATTATAAAAAATTTTATAGTATAGTTTTAATGGCTACCTGCGACGCCAAGTACACATTTACATCCGCTAGCATTGGAAGCTTCGGAGGACAAAGTGATGGAGGTAACACAAAAATATTTTAAAGGAATTGGCATTTACTCATTTTAAATTTGTTTGTTTTATTTCAAGGTGTTTTCCAGCAAACAGCATTTGGACGGGCGCTGCTGAGCAATAGTTTGCCACTACCACCAAAAACGCCGTTATGGAGAGGATCGATGGAAGAATTTCCACATTTTTTTGTCGCCGACGCGGCATTCCCACTGAAGGAAAATTTAATGCGGCCATACCCTGGCGTACAACTAACTCGCAGCAAAACAGTTTTTAATTACCGATTGTCGCGAGCTCGTCGGGTAATTGAAAATAGCTTCGGGATTTTAACTGCTCGCTGGCGTGTCCTTCGAAAAGTCATCGATTGTAGTCCGGAGAACTGCGAAAAGATCGTTTTAGCGTGCTTGGTTTTGCACAACTTTGTAATGCTAAACGATCTAAAACGATGGTACTGTCCAGAAAATTTCGTAGACACAGATGACCCAGAACAAGTGACAACAAATGGAGAATGGCGCCGTGATCTGGAGGATCTGGGTGGTCCATTGACCTCGATAACGTCAAATCGACGTAATGCAAGCGCGGCTGCATTCCGTTTAAGGGAAAAATCGACAGACTATTTTTTAAATCAAGGTGCCGTCCCTTTTCAGTAAAATGTCATTAGTATTATGTTTATTTATTTATTTTTAATAATTTTCATTTAAAATATAATTTAATCTATATCAGAAACCACAATAACAAAAGTTGCAAAGCTTGCACAAATTGCAAAAAAATTAATCAAACTTAAAAAAATTGTCATCAAAATTTCAAAATTTTTAAATAGACT